TGAAAGCTCTTGATGAGTGTAACATCAGAATGAGCTTATATCTTTAAAAACGTCAATAGCTAAGAAAGTACAGTGCAATTTAACAAATATCTCGTGAACTATTGACATTTTTGAAGATATAAGCTCATACCGATGTTACACTCATCAAGACCTTTCATTTGAGTACCCACATCAATTTTTCATATATTTATATATATTATATATATGTATATATGAAAAATATATCAAAATGCATGTAGGTATTCAAATGAAAGCTCTTGATCAGTATAACGTCGGGATGAGCTTATATCTTTAAAAACGTCAAGAGTTCAGAAAGTACAGTGCAATTTAACAAAAGTCATTATTAAATAAAGCAAAATTTTGATTATTTACAGTTCACAAGTCACGACAGTCACATAGTGACTGCAAGGCTGCTAGTTTAGATAGTAAAATTATTTCAATTTAAATAAATTAATTAATAAATATTTGAAAAGTTAAAAAATTTGTTCTAATAAATGAACTACTGTAAAATTTTTTTTTAATTTCATGTGTAGAAATTTCAAAAAATTCTAAGCGCAATTTTTTAAAAATATTTTTCTAACTAATTAATTTTTCTAAAAGAAAAAAAATGGTCAGTTGTCTGCTGAATTCAGTATCATATAAATAAATATTTAATGAATAAAAGATAAACGAAAAGTGATATATATATTGTCTGAGGATTAAATTACCCTTAATAGACTGAAGGTCGATATCCCAATAGAAGGAATTTAATGTAAAGTATAATAAATAAATATATAACACGATCTGATAATATTTATTTATTTACTGTTAAATAATAGCAACATTTATATTAACTTGCAAAAGTTTACGGTCTTATATAAATGACCATGACTCGCATACGCAGGTACAACTATTGCCGTACATTCTATTTCATTTTCACACTATTTCATATAAAAATAAAAGTTGTAAAATAAGTATCTGGAAACCCCCTCGACGTCAAAGAGCCGGTTATTTAAACTTGGGATTTCCTTTGAAGAAATTAAATACAAAAGAATGTCAAGTGTTTCCTCAACTCTTGATGATCAATTAACTTTTTTACCGCGACAAGTGTTAAGTAATTGTTACGAAAAAGATCGCGGGAATTTCTCGTTCTCGGTAAATATTTTTCGTAAAGCATCTAGTACAATAAAAATTATTTTTTATTTATTTTTTCTTACGAGTAATTGATAATTAAACACTTTATTTATGTATTTAGTGCGATAAATTATTATGCTAAAGAGTAATTAATTATATAATAATCAATGAACCGATAAATTTAACTTTCACGTTTGTTAATAGTTTATTTTGTGTTTACATTCTCTTTTTAAAATTGCTTAATAATTTATCATTGTACCTTGACATTATTATAGTTATAAAAATTTATCAATTTTATTATTTTTATTTATTATTTATTGCAATTAATTGCTTAGTTAATTTATCAATTGATAGTGAGATGATAAGAAATTAATGCAAATAAAATAAGCGGATATCTGACAATTTTTATAATTTTTTTCACTGAAAAAATTATTGCAAAAAAATTAGAAGCAATTTTTAAAAAATATTTTTTTATATCACAAAAATTTTCAAGCGTTACCTTGTATTAAAGAAGAGTTATCAAGTGATGTCAAACTACACAGTAAAATTCAAATAAAATTAATAACAATTAAATAAACACTTTTTACAGATACTGCCGATTTGGAGGATGGCAAACGAATGGCGTGAAGCTCTAACGCCGTCAGGCTTTTATTTAAAGCCCCACTCTCCTAGATCCGTCTCTTCCGTTTCACGGATGGACCAGCCAATCGCGTGCTCCATACTCATACTTGTCTGTCACACTAGGACTATCAATCGGGCTTATCAATATCAATAAAATAGGATAATGAATAATGAATAAGGAATTAGGAATAACCAACTTATACTATTAGTAATTTTTTAGGGGAAAATCACGAGAGTAAGAATAAATATTCAGGCTACTTATATTCTTCCTCAGCTTTTACTTTTATTTTTATTTATTAGTCTTGACAATTTTTTTTTATAATTAATTAACAGTCAAAAATAATTATAAGTTATTTTCTTATAATTATTTCTTTTTTAATTTTATTTTCTTCGGTTATAGAGTATGAATTTTTTTTATTATACTAATTATTAGTTATTATTTTTAAAAAACTTAAATTCTAAAATTTACTTATTAAAATTAAAAAACAATTTTTTTTGCTGTCTAATTTTTAAAAAAATAATTTAATATTTAAAATAACAATTAATAATTATATTTTAAACATTAGAATTTTGTTTTAATTTATACTGCTCTATATTTCTTCTTATTAATTTCTTTATTTATACTGTGAGTTATAAAAAAAATTATTTTATATTTTATTCATTATTTATTATAATAATTCATTTTTATCTTCTTTATTATAAAAAAAATTTTTATTATAAGAATATAAAAAAAATTAACAATAATAATAATAAAATTACTATATTAATTTAATGAAAAAACTTGCTAGAAATTTTTCTTCAATAAATATTGCAAAATATCAAGCAATACATAACTTAATGATTACATGATCAATAATTAATAAATTGAGAATTAGTTTAAAATACATGATACATATGTATGACCTAAAACATATTATTTCTTATTTTATCCCTTAAAATTTTTTATAAAAAAATAAAGAAATTTCTGTAAAAAGAGTACTTCTTCACATTGATTTTTAATTAAACAAAGTTTTAATTTGATAATTAAAAACTTTAAATAGGTGACTTGAATATATAATTAATAAGTTAAAATCTAAAATATATTATAAGAATAAGTAATAAAGAATCAATGAACAGTTAATCAAATCAGTCGATAATAACCTGAAGAAAAGTAAAAGTTATTAATTATAATTGTTATTACTAATTTTAGCATAAAGGATTTAAATGAACGTTATCGATACAAGGGAAGACAAATTGAAGCGTAATTGTATTATAAACTTGACGAAGAGATTCTCAGTTTGATTTAAATCGAGTTAACTCGCTGCCTTGGACTACTTGAAGAAAAAGCTGTGAAAATAGACCCGGGTATAAGATATTAAATTAACATTAGATCTGAATAGGAAACATTTAGGCTACCCATGAAAAAAAAATCTATTATATATTACATTAGATTTAAATGAAACAAAATTTAGTGAATGTCGAATCAGCATTGAAATTTAAAAATCCGCTCACTCGTGAGGAAATTCATGTACTGTACAGAAAACGTAAGGACGCAAGATTCTATCTCTACTCACATACAACTAGAACTGTCTTTTACAATAAAAGTCCTTGGGAGATAGAAAGGCTTTTAGTTGTGTCAGTTCGACCGCATATCCTCAAGTCTAGTCAAATGTCAACAATAGAATTTCATTTTAATTTTATATTATTTCACT